CTTTTGATGACTCTTGATTAACTTTTCGAAAGGTATTGTCTGAATTATTTACAAATATTGTTGTCGAGCGGAATTTTTTCGAGTAAATTTTCCATTTTCGCCAAATCAAATGAAAATTTTACTTTTAATACCTGCAATTAAATGCTGTGAATCGTGTAAGAAAAAAAAAAACAATATTCAACCGAAGCTAAAATGAAATTGCCCGACTTAATTCAAACTTTTGAATAAATAATTTGCATTTTGCAGGTGTAAATAAAATGCATACTAATTATATGCTATATGTGCTGGATGGTTGAAATCGAAATTGAATTTTTGGTTATTGCAGCGCATGGATGCTGGCATATTCGAACCGAAAATCCATTTCGAACTTTGCGGTAAAGATATGGTATGGTGTTTATGTATTCAACACTTGGCCATTGCACACAAGCGACAAACAACAGTGTACGCGGAAGCGAATTTTGTTGTTTCCACCGGTGTTGAACAAGGGAACATGACTTTCGTATGGGGCATAGATACAAAAGAAAAAGAGAAAATGAATGCATTCTGATTTAAAAAAAAAAAGAACTATACAGACACAAAAAGGAAGAGCTGTTTATTTTAAAATGCCAAAATGTAATCAAATATGGCGCCGTGTTGTTTTCTCAAACAGATTTGGCTTTGCTCACAACATCGGAGCTTTCCATATTTCCGTGTCAGATTTATAGTTTACACGTTTTCACTAATGTCGGAATGCCAAAGTCATAGTTTTCATTAAAATTCTCCATTCGCCGAATTTCCATGACAATCCAGCAAATTGCATTAAAAATGTGTATTTCAACGAAATAGCGCAATACATTCTTTCACATCATTTTCCAGCTTACAATGTAATCGGCTTATTTTGATGCTATTTTTTTTGTTCGTTGTTTCTTTTGCGAGAATAATTCGAAGAAAAAAAAATAAATACAATCGAGATAATGATGAATAAATATCATGGGATGATCTCTTATAAAAGCATAGCACAAAAACCAGACGAAGAAATATGAAATGAGATTTTTGACGTATGTATAAACATGTTACTATAGTGAAACAGGTGATATTGTATAATTTTGCTGTGAATAACCCACAAACGACAAAATCAAATGCGTATTTGAATTCATCGCGTTTCATTTACGCATCACATCAACGTTTGCACGTTTAATATGGCATCTTTTCGTTTTTGTAAGAGTGTGTATGGGCTGAGTTGTTTTTTTCTTCTTCTTTTTTGTATGTGTTCTCTCATTGCATAAAGTTCTTAAGGTGAAAGCCTACAGGGAAATTAACTCAAATCCATTGCGTTTGAATGCGTTGCGAATGCGAGTAGCTTCAATAGAGTTTTTCATGTATTTCCGGTGATTTTGATAAGGAAAATTTATTGAAGCTTTTATTGTGTATTAAATCGTCGTTCTTTCGGTTTTCTGTTCACCAACGACAATGCGTGCGTACACCAAAAAGAAGCGCCATTCTGCGCCCAACATTTTTCGGGCCCGCAAAATGAACATTTCATATATACTTTATACACACCGTACACACAATTCCACAAAATTTATGAATCATTGGCGGAGATGTGTGCATAAGATATGGAAAACGATGATCCAATATTTTGTTTTATTTTATCGATATTACATTTTTTTACCAGATTTATGAATTTTCAAATATTTTTCATCAAAATATGATTGCATCAAAATAAATAAACGGCGCTTTTTTTCACCGACTTCTTCTCATTTTCCGCTCTTTTATTTGATTTGTACATAGAAAGGAAACAGCCAAAAAAAAGAGAGTCGAAAGTTAAATGTAAAATGTTTGTTTGTTCGGCCATAACATTTATGTGAAATGATTACGTGTTATGGCAGTACAACTTTCCAAGTGAACCAAAAAGGAAACAATAATGTCACATTCAAACGTGCACAATGCGCACATCGAACGAATGATGAAAACGCATTAAAATTTTGGAGATACTTTCTTATATTTCCAATTAATGTCAAACATTCGATACTCAAATCGAAATGGAATGGAAGTACATTGATGTGAAAATCGCATCTTTTTTACGATGTTTTTCGTTCAAATCATTGTTATGTACAACGAATATGCGCGAGCGTGTGCAATGCAGTTTGAATTTACGAAAAGTGGATACGAAAATAATATTGATGGTCTATGAAATGCTAGTAACTCAATTTAATTGTCTATTTGGATGTTGCGACTGCCAATGCTACTACTGTTGCTATTTGAAAAATTGAAAGAGATATTGCACCAAAATATCAATGTGCACGAAATGAAAATAAAATAAAAAATGCAACACAGAAAGAGTGAGCGAGAGGGATTGCGGGCTTGAGAAAGAGAGAGAGAGCAAGATAGAATATATTTAAGCGCACACAGAGAGAACATGATCTTTTACTTTAGTTGAGGGTTGACGTGGCGGGGCCATTATTTGATTTTGGTTGAATTCCCGTTCACTGCAATTTATTGATTTGACATCGAACATATTCAACTTCTTGACACATTTCCGTCGATCATTCGCATTCACGTGCGCCTCCAGAGAAAGGTGAACCATTCGAATTTCAAAATGCACTTAAAATTGCTTTGCTGAAAATTAGAGCAAAGTGAATGGAAAAATAATATGGAAAACTTCATGTTGAAATAATAAAACCGAAACAATAAGTGATTGTGATGCGATTGCAGTTTGAGTATATGAATGGTGGTGTTTGTAAAAAAGATGTGAAATATTTTCGCAATAATACACAGCAAGAGACACGGTGTGCTCGACGTGAGCTCACTGACATTTTATTTGAAACCGACAAAATTCTAAAAATCGCACCCATCTCCTCCGCTCACTTCGACAGAATATATAATGTCGCAACAGAGAATAGTGGCGTATTTCGTTTTTCTCACTTATCACAACTTTGGAAATGTTAACCAGACATTATAATGAGATATTTTCAGCCAGATGAATCAGCTCAGCCAGATATCGTCAGGAGCTGAAATGGAGTGAAAACAATTAAAGTGATTGTTATAGTGATTGTAGCAATGTAAGTGTAATTATAACCATAACAATCACTCCAATTGTTTTCACTAAATTTCAGCTCCTGACGATATCTGGCTGAGCTGATTCATCTGGCTGAAAATATCTCATTATAATGTCTGATGTTAACGTGAATAAAAGCGCTCATACACCACCATTGGCAACTCTTTTCATTTTCTCGAAAATGCATTATGATTTTTTGCTCTCTCGTCTTTTTATTATTTTTATAATGTTTCTTTTTTTTGGTGTTGTTGTTCGTCGTTTATGCATGTGACTGACACCATAAAAGCGTTAGTGCATTTAGTTGTGTTCATGGCATTGGCTGGACGGTATATCTTACAGCATGCAACAAATCAAGCTTGTTGGTGGTACGTCTAGCAACATAACATCAACAATAACAACTGTAAAAATGAGAAAATTCTGCATGGAATGAAGCAAGTACGGGGAATGAAGCGCTAAAATAGCACTTGATTCAAAATCAAAATAATTTTTAGTTGAACAAAAAATGGCGCTATGTAAATGGTTAGCTCTATTGTGTTAATAAAGCAACGAAAGCAATTACAGTTTTGGAGCATAAAAGTCGCTCGAAGAGCATGAGATCTGCATTTAACACAAAAAAAGCAAAGCAAAAATGTATAACATTTTGCTCGTGTTGAATTGTGTTCATGTTCACTGAACAGTGGCCAGCATCATGTGTTCAGAATTTCGTGTCTAGATATGGATAATAGATTTTTCTCCGATTTTTTTTAATGTTTTCGTCAATCGTGTTGATCAGATGCACTTCAAATGGCATTCGACGGACGAATAGCAGAAATAAACATAATTGATTTAAATAAAATTTAAAAACAAAACGGAAAGGAAAATATAATTTGAAATCTTGATCTGCATCGGATGCATTTCTGAAAAAAACACAATAATTAATTCCAAGAACTTTTTTTCACTTATTTATAAATGGGAATATCGAGTGAAACAAGATCTTGATTGTATTAAAAACTTTTTGCTTTTATTTTTTCCGGCTATTATGAGTTTTTTTTTGCGTCAAAATCATAGTTTGTCCAATCACTTTTGCTTCAAAAAAATATATCCGGAATGAATATTAGACTTTTTCGAAAGCTGATGGAAAAAACTTCAGTCAAATTAAGCTCTGGTGTAAAGAATACCAATTTCCAGATAGTTCGGATAGAATAAATTACGTTAAAATTTTAAACAAACAAAAAATAACCCCAACAAAGGAACAAAAACGTCGACAAAAAATAAAAAAAAAAGACTACTCGTTGAAAAATTATACGAACGCGATTGCATGCTTCATTTGAGACATATACAAAAAAAATACATATATAAGAGAATGAGAACAAAATGAAAAAAAAGGAAATAATAATCGTCGTAAAAAACCGTCAATTTTGAAGTAATGTACAGAATGGTTTAATGTGAAAAAGCAACGAAAAAACCATAATTATGCGACTGCTGTACGTTTGACTTCTATCGATGGGTTGAACGAGTGTTAGTGGTTGAAGCTAAGAGAATAAATTGCTGCAAACCAAATAGAGCAGCCATAGAGCAGTGGCAGAGCAGCAGCTGGAAATTTAACAACCGCATTCAATAGCATAGTTTATTTTAGTTTTCGATGCAAACATGCATATTTTTTTTCTCTTTTGTTTGGTATGGCTTTCAAAATTCTGGTGAGGCGCGTCGATGGTATTTCGATGTTCGAAATGCAAATACATGCTGTAGTTAAGCAGTCGTCATGTTGAATTTTGTGCATTTTCGACATGGATTTTCCCGAATTTTCGTGTCGTGCTACAACATGCTGTCTTTTTTTTTGTTCTCCGTATGCCACCCTCTCTTTTTTATGTTAATTTTCCATCTTTCCGATGTGTATATCGCATGTATTTTTTATTTGAATTCCATTTTCAATATTCTCATGCATTTTTAACAAAAACAAAATATTTTCGCCAAACTTTTGTAGGTACCTGAACGTGTTAGAGCAATGAATGCCACAATAAAATTGTTACTGATCGTTAGAGAACCAGTGACGAGAGCAATATCAGATTATACACAGCTACGAAGTCATGCGGCGACTGCAACTCTTCCACAACAGCCACCAATAACGCAACAACAGCAACAATCATCGGTGCCAATGTCAGTGACATCGTCAACGCCGTTGCTAAGCGCTGCTTCAAAGTAAGTACGAAGTATCATGTATGTGATTGGAGAGAGAGATAGAGAGAGAGAGAGAGAGAGAGAGAAAGAGAGAGAGTGGAAGTCATTTGTGACACAATTGTTTTAAAATTCGAAGAAAGAATTTCCTTTCTTCTCGTTTTGTTTCGCAAAGCATTCAAATCGACAAAAATCGATTTGGGATGCATCGATGCCAGTTTATATGTTGGCATTGGTGTTTTATATGTATATTATCATCACCCCATCTCGTTAAATTGTTCCAGTTGAATCCCACGTGAATATTTGGAGAAAAGTTCAACTTCTAATTTTGTTACTTGTTTGTTTTACTTCCTTTTTCGGTACGTTGCGTGTCTCTGCTGGCCTGTTGTATTCACTGCGCTGGATGAATTGATTGAATTACCGTTAAATGTACGCTACCATCAATACGACGATGGGGGACGCTTTAATTGGAAATCGAATTACATCTTTTGGTCATTTGGTTTTTGGGTACACACGTTATGGAACCATTCATAACCGTATTTCATTTCCGGCTACACAATTTTTCGATGTCTATTCGAAAAATGCAAATGCTCACCCAAAAACTTGACAAATGAAAACATCATATGGATACCAATATCGACATCATCATCATCATACGCCGCTGCCACCTCCACCACTGCTACCGTAACATTTTGCCATCATTTGCTGCTGTACAAACATCCATATAAACAGAACATTCGAAGAATTGGCCATACTTCCGAACGGCACCGTTAATGAAGCGTATCGACCATTAACCATATCAATGTACCATTTGCACATGCATCGATGGCTCGAGGTATTTTCACGTGAACAGCTTTTAGTTGTAAATGGTGACCAATTGATTGAAGATCCGGTATCACAACTACGACGAATCGAAACATTTTTAGGTATGTATATACATTTATTTTCGAATTTATGCCAATTAGAAAATCAACCTCAGGTCCGAAATGCACACATGCACGACGCTTCAAAACTCGTTTTGACTAATGACAATAAGACCGTCTAATACATATATACATTTTTTTGCTCTCTCATCGTAATTGTCGTTAATTTTGAACGAGCAACATGAAATGGCCTCACACCGTGTACAAACTTGTATCAAATTGAATAAAGTGCATTATTTATGATTCAATCTTTTTTTGTAACTCTATTGGATCATAAATTAGCATAAAATTGAAAAAAGAAAAAAAATACTAGAAATATACACGAACAGCCTTATACATAGTTTGTATATTAATTGAAGCTCTTGATTTAATGAAGAGAAAAACATTGCTCGCAATGTACACAAAACCACTTTACGATACCAATGTGCAGTGTGCACTCTACGAGTTATGTGCTCGGTGTTTTTTTAGTTCGAAATTTTTAATGAAAATTATATAATAATGTAAATTAAGAGTGAACGAAGAAATTGGTATAAAAAAAACCAAATGAAAATCATTATGAAGTTGGTTCTTGTGGATCATAGTGACAGGATATCTTCTCCAGCACTGTATATCTTCTGTACATTACTTGTTACAAGAAGAATGTGCAAATGAAAGCTCATGTTTTTGCCTCGTGGATAAATGAGGAAAAAGAAATTCACTGACTGACAGCGATGAAACTGTGTGGACACCACTGGACACGGAGAGGGGGAGAGCTGTCAGACGATATGATTGGGTAGCTTGGGAAAGAATATTGGATTTTGAATGGTGGTGAGACTTTAAAATTCTGCTACCAATATAATTGCATTTTACGGTAATTAACCTTAAAACAAAACGTAGACATATCCATCTTGTACGAGGCAATAACGGATAATTTATTCTTTCCTTGATTTTAGTTGGCGTCGAACATGCATTCTTTCGATGTGTGTATAAGTGCGATTTTATTTCTTTTTATGCACTTAAACACATGCTTCGAAGCGACAAAGAAAACGCGATGTTCACTTGAATTGTTGCACGCGTTCTTTGTTGCATTATTTTCGGCAATCTAGATCGAAAAAAGCATGATAAAATGACGTCTCTGATGACGACTTCAAGCGAAACACAAAAGATCGATTCTAAGTTCAAAAAAAATTCGTGATCAAAAGCTATTTAGTTCGAAGGTTTGACATGACCTGAACATCGCATGCAATTCGGCGATTGTTTGTCGTTTTCTCTCTATTTTATATTCGTCAACGATTGATGTTCAGATCGACCACATTGACAAAAAGCACACGAAAAAAAAAACGAAGAAAAAATGGCTACGTTTAAAAGAAATAGACAAATAGCTTGCAAACTTTGAAAACATTGTGCCATTGAGAAATAAAAGAACCTGGTTTTTCATCTAAATATTGTTATTATTTGCAGTGAAACTCAACTTCCGAAGATTATACAGCGCGACCATTTTTGCATCGATTCGTCTTCGAATCAACAATTTGGAAGAAACATTAGGAAATTCCAAAGAGAGAGAGGGGGGGTAAAGAAATAAAGGGGGACAGGAGTGAGAAACATTGGTATACAGATTACAAAGCACTGAATGAGCCATTCAAACAAACTGTGCAATAAAATCGTTTTTAAATACAGTTAAAATGCTTTGTCGTCGATGTCGTTGTCATCAAAGCGTGTTCGAAAGCTGTTTTGTTGTGTGCAAGACTCCGTGTGTCCCGTTTTTTCCCCAACATTTTAATAATATTGAATTTTGTAATGTTATTGGACTATAAGTTCAATTTGTGGGATTTTGTGGGTTGATTTTATTGTCGTGCATTTGTCGATTGTGTGATATGGTGCGCGCACACGCTACCGCATAAATCGTTAACTTTTTAAATTTTTTCTTTTCAAACAAACATTTTCAACTAACTCATTTCATTTTATTTTCGTTTTTTTTTCTTCTTTTTCTTCTATTTTCAAACAAAACCATCGAAACAAAATTTAACCGGTTGATGTATCTCGTTGCTGTGGACTTTGTACACGGTTGATCGGTTTGTATGTGTATCACTTTAATTGGTTATCGCACCCAAAGGAATCGAGCATCGTATATCGAGGCGAAATTTTTATTTCAACGAGACAAAAGGTTTCTATTGTTTACGAAATGATACAGCCGATAAGTGTTTGCGTGAAACAAAAGGCCGTAAGCATCCGCATGTTGATCCACAGGTGATATCAAAACTTCGAAAATTTTTTGCTGAACACAATCAAAAATTCTATGAACTGATTGGCGAAGACTTGGGATGGCCCGAAGAATAAACAATCACCAAATCAACACCACCGCACACAACGTAATGCAAGCCACTCAAAGTGAAAATATTTATAAATAAACTAACTAATTCGATAAATAAGCAACAAGCCACGATTGAACAAAGAAAAAAACATTTTTTTTTAAATATTGGAGTGATATACGGAAATGTAACAAATATGATTCGAATATAAAAGCGATACTATTTGTTAAGGAAATATTGCTAATAGCCGTACGCTCACTGAGTAATGTGTCACAAAATGAAAAGCAGCACATTAATATTACTAAATGACCGAGTAGAAATGGATTTTATACGAAAATGAATGTGAATTCAATTAAGTAAGATGCACAGGTTGTGCCGGTTTTAGACGACCATTAGTTTATCCCTCCGACGAAACAAATATCGAATTTTGTATTTGTTATGGTCGATCGACAATTTCAAACCAATATGGAAAAATGAAAAGAGATCGACCGATGATACAGAATCAAATGAAATCAATCGCATGAATTACATTATTTGCATCAAAGTGTTTGAATTTAAATTGATCGATTTGCTCGTTGATGCATACTTATTATATTCCATGGACACTGTTAAATATACGGTGATTAGTGTCAGTGCGATATGACAAAAGAGCTTTTATAGATTTAATTTTACCTAGCCACTTAACTCGCATTGTGTGACTCACATACCGTTAGTGTTCTCTTTTTTTTTTTGTTCTAACCCATCACTCATGAAGCTATGATGGTGGTGGTAGTGGTAATATTTTCGACGTTAACACAAAATAATAAGGGAACATTTTCCATATTCCATATTGCATTGAGTTTCTCATTCAACACGAAATGGAAAGTAATCAATTTGAAGTAAGCATTTATCATAATATCACATCTGCTGCGCGAACCATACATTTCTTGACTATTTCTCTAGAGTGCGAGTGAATTTTAATGAAAATAAATATGGAGAAAGGAAATGTGTGTTATTTTTTGCTACTCTAGCTCAACAACACGACGCCAAAGAGAGAAGGAAAAAAAAAAACTAAAGGCGTCTCTTTGAAAAATGCGCCATAATTACATGTGTAATTTCATTGTATTTTACTTGTGTGAAGTGGTCAAAATAACAATCTCGTGTGTTTGTTTTTTTCTCCGAATGTCTCTTTTCCCGTGCATGTTCGAGGTTTTTCGTTTTAAGTCGTTTTCTAATTTTTCATTCAATTTTATCTTCCCTGAAATGACCAAGAGAATGGAAAACAAGTAAAATACTACACATTTGAAATTGCTTTCGTTCTTTTAATACATAATCACTTCATTCTCTCTTTCTTACTTGGTTTTTGGTTTTTATTGAAAATCCTTGGTTTTGTATATCTTGCATTCCATTGAGGGAAAAGTTCAATGTATTCAAATGAATAGGCGACCAAACACAAGAGCCGTATTATGTGTGCATTTATTTGAGACCCTACCATTTATATTCACATTCAAAACTTGAATACATTTCAATTTAATTAATTTTTACACAATTTTATCGGCCACATATATACAAGTACTTAGTACATACACTCCTTCAAATGAAAATTCAATGTACGAATTACTCGAATGGTATTGTGCCAAATGGATTTGTTTGCACAAATAAATTCAATAAAATAAGATCAGATGTAATTAAATTGTAAAAGATGCACGATCAACTTTATCGAAAACTCGAATGGCCTTCATATCTCAAATAAAAAGAAAAACGATGACTATAAAACAAACCGAATGGTAATGCCATTCTTGGCGGTCACATGCAGTCATTTCGAAAATGGTGTATGTGCTAGATTGGATGGGGTGATGTACACAAAACAATTTCGTCTCATATTGGTGTCATTCATAATGCATGCCGACGTGGTGCGCCACTCTGCTCTTTTACCGCCATCGTCGCCTCTATTTTGTTATTTTCTTTTATATTGTGGTGCTGGCGCAAAGAATTTATCTAAAGAAAGGCAACAGACAGACCCAAGAAGAGAACCATTGTGTAAATAGGCTGCTCTGCAATTACAAGAGACAGAATATAAGAAACAACAACAACAAAATAACGGGTTTCCTATAAATCATTGCTTGCGCCCCATTTATAACATGCAATCACTTTGTTCACCTTAACGCGAAAGCGAATTGAACTGCCATTTTCTGAGCAGCGAAAATGAAATGCTTGTATTATATTTCAATCTATGACACCCGAACAAAAGTAACACCGAACCAACCGAATGGCAATGAGTGTGAATATGAACAAGAAAAATGTGAAGAAAAATCATTGCTCACCAATTGTAAGCGATATTCAGTTGTGTGCGCACCAAACAAACAAACTGAGGAGCCAACTGTCACGGTTGCCACCATCAACACCGTTCACTGTGTGCGAGCGAGAGAATTTCAGAAAAAAAATCGCGCGAGAGAGAAAGAGATAAAGAGAAATAGAAAGTGAGCGAGAACGAACGCCATTTGTTTTATCAAGTGGTATCTCATTATCGCTTGATTTATTGAATATTGCAACATCAATTCAATGGGCAAATACTATTATGAATGCATTACTCGATATTGTGCTCACTCTGATTGGTGGCTGCATTTACAGCGCTACTCTGACGTCGCCATTCATCGGGCACATTCATTCGCAGAATTGTATAATCATAATGTGCTTCCATTCGGACGATTTATATGTCCTGTCGATGCTGATGATAAGTGTTCAGAAAGCATCTCCTTTTATAAATTTTGAGCTCGTTCACTTTTTCATTCCTTCTTTCGTCGTTCTGATGTTCGCACATAAGTGAATAGATCGAGGGAATACTTATTTTGTGATCGTCATCTTAACCGGCAACAAACTAACAACTACGTGCTGCAATTAAGAGTCGAACGAACGTGGTAAGAAAAACATCACTCTCAATGAAAATAAAAAACATAAAACGAAAAAGAAAACAAAGAAGATTAAAAAAAGCTTAGATAATTTAAGATGAATGAGAACATTATAAGCAATATCTAAATTTATTATCAATATCGCGAAAACAAATAAACTATATGTGAAATCAAGCGTCACAAACTTCATTCGGTGGTACGTAAGTACACTTCTCTTATATTGAATGATAAACAACTGAAACTTGTTATAGGAACATTGAGAGCATGAATAAGCTTGTCTCAAATTAAAAAAAAATGAAACATATCAACAAAATTAACAAACACATATCAAAAAAAGACAAACAACCTAAGAAACCTAAACATATCAAATTAGGCGATAGTTTTAAATTAAAAAGATGAAAAGTTTCAAGTGTAAAACAGAGAATGAGAGAGATAAACTCACAAACTCTAATTTAAATTGTTAAGCGTTTGAACTATTTACATTTTTAAGAATGATACATATACAAAAATTATTTAAAAAAAAAACTAAAAAAACACTTAATGGTTATTTAGATTTATTTATAAAATGTAAGAAATTTCATATCGAAAACATATCAAAGTGGAATGGACACAAATTATTATGAAATACTCCTTAAAACAAAAACAAAAACAAAAAAACACACATACTTTCAAACGGAACAAATCGAACGTGAACGAAAACTGTCTTGAACATTCGATTGGAAGAGATTGCATATCAATAAAATTGTTGCTATCAAAATAATATTTAAAAAAAAGCAAAAAAAAAAACCTTTCGCATAAATTTCGCGTTGAATCTTTTACTTTTAAGATATATTATAGAAAGAGAAATCATACAATTTTTTTTAGACGATAAGAAATTGATTTATTTATTTATTAACTAAGATGCGAACCATAGATAAAGAATAGAAGAATGAAAACCATGTCTGGAATTCAATGGACACACATACATACACTATTTTAAAATAAAAATAAAAAAGAAAACCAAAATTATCATCAATTAAATATTATATCGGCTATCAAGCAGAACGAAATAAGAAGATATAGATACAATTATTTTGTTTTGTTTTTGTTCATTATGCACTCGAGGATAACGAGGGTATGGCTTTTATTTGAAAAAAAAAAAAAAAAAATTACTTAAAAGAATGAGATAGAAAGAATGATCGAAGCAAAATAAACAAATGTGAAAAATTAATGAATTGTTCTCCCCCCATCCTTAATTTTCCCATTGCGTAGCAATTATTGAATATATAAATATACGTCAATATCATTTGACATTTTTACGGATAAATGTGATTTTTTCTAGAAATAAGGTCAAGCAAAGGAAAAACAAAACTCTAAATAAATATAACAATGTCATTAATTACTCATCAATATCAATGATTTAATCATTTCAGCATGAAGAAAATAATATCAAACAAAACAAATGAAGAATGAAACAAAACTATTTTAAAATGTGAAAAAAATCCACTAATTGAAAATCATTTCATGAGATCGACAAAAATCACCATCCCCATCGCTCACTACACACATACTTATACGGATATTTTCGAAAAGATCGAACACACACCAACAAGATCTCATTCGAAATTTGTGTATGTTCACATAACCACCATGTTTCTAAGCTTCACACGTCCACACATAATGAGAAAACTGGCAGAAATATCGACTATAGTCATATGGCATAGAGAATACCATTCATTAAAATGGAATAAATTTCAAAATTGCGTCTACATTATGGGCATAAATCGTTAGTTTCTAATTATTCGCGTTGTTAAAGTATGAAAACAAAACACATGTGTCATTAATTCATATCATTCAAAACATTTCCATAGATTCGAGAGAGAGAAAAAAAAATGCGACATTGCGATTCAAGTGAAAAAGATAATTTTCCGTTTCGCATATGAAAGCTTGAGCCTTTTTTCGAAAAATATTCATTCTTTTGATTTGACTGATTCTTCTTTTCTGCATTTAAATGTCAAATCTATATTTACAATGCAAAACTTAGAATCGTTGAATTCTGAATATCGGTATATTCGTATATTTCAATCGAATGAGGGATTGAATATTGCATTTGGATCAGAGTTTTATTCAATTTAAAGTGGATGGATGTTTTAACATAAATTGTTGTTTTTTTTTTCATTTTCTATGCTATTGTTATCGAACATATATCCCTTTTAATGCATCGAGCACTCACACGCTCACTCTTGTGTGTGTATAAACCTTGCAGTTTGATTGAATAACAGACGAACGTATGTTTTTCTTTCCACCGTTCATTAGAGAAATGTTCGAGAGATTCAACATCGTTTATAAAAAATAAAGTTCATTTCAAGTGAATTCGATCTGTGTTGGGTGGATTTAATAACGTGGTGTAGACACGTTTGTATGAGTGTATGTTTCAGTCATCATTCAATGCTGTCAAATTTCATTTGATTCGATTAATGCAAATGTTTATGAATTTCATTAGAGCATGTGGTTTCAGTATCGATATCATTTCATATTATTTATTTTGCGAGAAAGAAGTGAAAATAGCATACACAAATCGTTCATTCAACCGCATCTAATCATCATTTCAAGTCGTCCGAATTCATTTTGATTCAACAACCAAAACCATAATCATTTCAGCATATACATACACAGAACCAAACCGAATTAATTATATACACCATGAAAATAAAATAAAATTCAACAGAAAAGCAGTTAGAAAACAACGAAAAAATTTGTCATTTACACGATTTTAACAAAAAATTTAATAAAATTAGAAACGCCAATAAACCAATAAAAGAGAGAAAAATGAAACAAAAGCAAATTTAAAAAAACACCTTCTTTTAGAAACCGTTTTCAATTTAATTATTAAAGTTACTTAAGATTAGACGAAATAACAAAAACTATTCACATGTTAATGGCATTCCGATTGCGCATTTTCTCTATTAAAATCTCCTTTTTTTCTGTCAATTTGTTACTTTTACGCGCTGCCAATGCAATTTAAAATTAACTATAAATATATACTATGGATGTAATATATAATCCCTTACACATCGTTCGCATACGACATAAAATTGACTAAATTTTAATGAATAATTTATGGAATTGATCTGCCTATACTTTCATACATTTTATGCTCAATTGATTCGATTTCGTACACATTTCTTTTTATTTTCGTTTAAAACGTTTTGCTTTCAATCATTTCAATTTCTTTAGGTCGATGGAACCATGTCAATCGAATCCATTTAATTAAAATGGTTTTGAATTACAAAAATCACAATGAATTAAAAAAAAAAAAACAATTGGATCATTTCAAACAACGAAACATAGAGATTGAATGTATGTCTCATTTTTTTTTAAATTGTTCACACAAATGGAATTAATATTGTTAGGGCGATTTTTTTCAGTTATTTATTCTATATGCGATAGATCTTTCTTGCTTGAAATGAAATGTCAAAAGAAAATCAATTGAGAAACCGATCAATTCTTACAAGAATAAAAAGAATAAAAGATAACATGTTTTTTCTTAGATAAAACGTTCAGATTTATATACGTTAAAGTTGTTTCAATGAATGATTTCAAATTGAAAACGTTTCCTTCCTTTCAAAGAAATATAGCCTTTGCCCCAACAAAAATGCGGTACTGAATCCAATTTCGAAAATGCGTAGACTAATAAAATTGTTTTGCTGTGTTTTTTATATATATAATAGCAATTGAGCAATATCATATAGCTATTTTTCTTTTCCAAAAAAATGAAATGACCCAAACATAAAATAGACTTATAAAAGCAATTGGCACCAATAGCATAGCACATTGGTTACCACATACCGGTGGAATATCCAACAAAAAAAAACAAGAAACAAAAAATAGCGAATTAGTTAATGTAAGTTGTTAAATCTTTTTGGATAAATTCAATATTTACAATTGAAACAACGACCAATTTCAATACCAATAAAAAAAAGTGACACAGAAAATAGAACAAACCAACCACACACTATTGTCATTACGAATTTTGTTGTTATCATTTTAAAAGAATTGAGTTTGAATGGGTTTGACCGTTTGAATGTACGATTTCAAGTAGAAGCTCGAAATAAAATGGAAAATCATATTTATCGAATTATCTGGTCGACGATGATCGAAATCGGAAAAACGTCTAACAACCAATGAATTTATCTGAGAATGAAACACGCACAGTTCATACACTGTGCTAACGTATCGAAATAAATCATGCAACTTAGCTAAAATATATTTAAACTAAAAGAATGAATCATTTGGTTTTTTTTTCTTCTTTTAAACATTTACATGTCGTTATTGTTTTCCCATTTTTTGAGTGGACCTTTGAATTCTAATAAATCTAATTCTTTCGATGCTAATATAAAATTATTATATAAATTGTTGAAAACTTTTATTGCAATATTCTTTTATTTATCAAAAATTTTTCTCTTTCCCATTTTTTTTTTTTGGCTAATGGTAAAAATTCACGTTTCCCAAGAAAAAAAAATTTACAATTCTACGTAACACATCCATAATTTTTGATATCATATCTTTATCTCTATTTCTTCTTTAAAAAAAAAACATAAATTTAATAACAAAACACTCAATTCTCAATTTTTCTGGTGATTTTATCTGTTTTTATATAGTATAAAAATGATATGCAAACAAAACCAAAAACAACACTCTACTCAACTAAATGTTTCAATGTGTATAGATGTATGTGTATTTTATTTATTCGTTAACTACATGTTGATAGTGCATTAAGAACAAAATATAAATACAGAACCACTACTTACCGAACAAACAAAAAATGACACGAACGACAATTTTTTCTCTTTCTGCATGTGCGTTTTTTTAATCTATCTTAAATTTTATTATTATTATTATTCAACGTGTATGGTGTGATGAACGCATAACAAGGATAAAAAAAATAAGTAAACGAAAACATATCAATTTTAATAAAGAAATTTTTGTTGTCAAAATACATATCAACCAAAATGGATAAAAGCAACAACCAAAAATGTCTTATTAGATACTTTTTATTTACAAATGGAGAAATCTAAATATAAAACGCTAAATTTGAATAGCCATATCAAAATTTAAAAAAATTGCATTTTATTTATAGTTAAAAAAAATTATAAAATTCATTTCTCTTGGATTTTCTCTTTAAATTAATCCATCGAAAAAAAATTAAACTATTTTTCCTGACTCAATTTTTGAAAAAATTAAGAAAAAATGAACGAAAAACAAAAGCATATACCATTTGCAATGTTGTGATCAAATGAATTTCCAAGCATTATGTTTCAAGAATGCAATGTAGAGATTAAAAAAAAACTTCCCCAAACGAACAAAAAAAAAAACATAAATAATTTACTTGTATCACAGATGTCACATGATCAAACTTTAACGCATCACAGAAGAATTTATTCTACCGCAAAACTATACACAGTTCCTTTTTTATGTAAATTCGGTGAAAAATGAATGAATTTTTTTAATCGAGGGGAAAAAATGACAAAAAACAAACCGAATACAATTTGTTTTTATGAAATAGTGATTGAAATTTGAAAAAAAAAAAACATGAGAAACTTCACTCCACATTAAGCAATGAAACAACCAAACCTATCACCAGTTGTCCATATATTGCGTCCAAATGATGCAACTTGGTTATAATTTTGGTAATTGTTGTCATTTTTTTCTATATTTGATCTACGAAATACATCTTCTTTTGCCAACACGAAAAGCAACAACAAGTGTGCGGTGAATAAATTCATCTCTAATGTGCGCAAAGACTGTCATTTTTAAGAGTTTAAATCAATGAAAGTCATGAAGAAAAATGTGTAATATAATCTATTTAAAAGATTTTAATGTAAATACCACTTAAGATCTAATCCAACAACACAGACAAAAGAAAACTAACCCGTAAATTGATCAAAAACTCAAAGTAAAGAAATTCAAATCATAATTATTATAGAACAAATAATAATAATACAAAAAAAATAATAAAATAAAATACAAAAAATAGAGACACGTCTTTTTTTTAAATAATTTTTCAAGCCTGTATTTGAATAAGTGGTGCAAAAAAACTTATTTAGTATTCGCTGAATCATTTGTGAGGGCATGTTTTTTCGCCATCGTTTCGGGATCGGAAATTTAGATCAACTCAAGTTCGGTTCCATAGAGGTGCTCATTATATTATTTTGTAAAAAGAAAATGAATAAGTTACAAAAAATGATGTCTCTTTTCTCGCATCTGTCAACCGTTTGAAAACTGTCGTTTGAGTGTTAAATCGACGTAAACTCATTTGAGCCATTTCATTCATTAAAGCAGTTCCGACTAAAATTCTAATTTCGTAGATTGAGCCAATACAAATCTGGGTTCCACCATTTGCTGACAAATCATAAAGTGGCTAGTCCGGTGTATTTAAATCATCTTTTTAATGTTTGCCATGGCAAAGGGCCAAATTACATTTTGTTTTGGCTATACATAAGAGTATCATTTGACGAGCTCAAATTTTTCGACTAGACATGTGCATGGGATTCTCTGATGAGGACCAAGAATAAGAAAAAAAATGATTTTGAGGCAAGCTGTTTTTACACAAATCTAATGTTCGCATATCGCATGTCACATGAACTTGAAGTGAGTCCGTGTGCATGAAATGAAAAGAATAAATTGGATGAATAAAGTTCCGTTAGTGAAATGAGCTATTTTCGTTCATCAATTTCAATATTTTCGTTTTTAAATCATTTCACATTTTATTACAATTGAATCATTTGTTCTTGGGAATGTGCCGACTTTTTTATTCGACCAATTTGAGCAGAAATTTATGCTAGAATTTACTAGGGGCTTAATTCAAAATTTTCAACGACTGAATTCTATAATAATATCTAAATTAACTGAATTTTTCAGCAAACGAATGAATTCCGGTGAATTCTAGGGCGATTTCATTCAAATATGTGAGATAGTGGTGAATAGTTTCTGCTGGCAATTACTGCAATATTTATATTTTGTATAACAAAATTGTAAATGTTTTTTATATTTTTTTAATAAAAATTAATTTTATTTTCAATTTTGAGCGATTTTATATCGAAAACAATCGGAAATATTGAAAAAATAATAAATTAAAAAATATTGCGGTTTTCATAACCTCACTTTATTAATTTGACACATTTCATTCTATTCACACGAATTCACCGAACTCATCAATAACCACTCGATTCAAAAGTGTGAATTTACGTGAATTCCTGTTAATTTTTTGCCGTATTAAGCCCCTAGAATTTATGCATCAATTCATTCAGTATTTTTTTTTTTCAAATGAATTTTCGGATGACGTTAGCACATTCGAGAAATTACAGTTGACGCATCGCCAATGAAGGCTTTTGACGCTATCTCAAATGCCTGTATATTTGCATCCAATTATTGCTTTGATACACAACATTTTTCACATATGTAGTAGCTGTTTGTACGTTTACATCTTATCAAATGTTGCGAATTCGTTATAATGTACCGTTTGGAATAAAACTTGACCGTTTTTTTCCCTTTTTGTAAAATAATCAACTTTTTTGCCTTGAACATATTAGTGTATAGTTTCTTTCGAAATACTTTGGTTATATTTGGAAATAATTCACCGAGATTATTTCTTAAATTTCAGTATATTTCCGTAGTTAATGGTTGGTGTTGTACAATAGCTAGTTAAAATATTATTATTTTCGATCTTCGAATTTGAATTTTCTGCATTTTGTGGTGGAAATGGGCATTTGCTTCGAATGTTTATGCATAAAATCGCAAGTAATTTTCATTTAAAGTGACAAATAATGCGGAAAAATCATATTCAATGCCAAAAATAAATAATATCGTCTTTGTGTTGATTTGACGTCGGCATTTTGACATCCACCGTTCCTAATGTCATTTGAATGATTTCAACAATGAATTGCACTGACATAATTTACCTTGTACGAATATTCAAATGAACCGGTTATCCATAAGCTTTTAATATTCTCTTCAACAAATAAAAGCAATAAACGTTTATTTTTTTAATCAGTGAACGCAATCAAATGGAACTAATATCATGAAACGCATTACATGAGTATGCGTGATAAACTAAATCAATTTAAATGATATCACAGATACAATTGGATTTAAGTCCCATTAAACTGACGCTAACACTTACACATTGATGCGAATATGATGTTTTTTTTTATCTCTTTTGTCGTGGGCAGATAAGTTCATTGTAAAACAAAAAAAATATCTTAATCATATTATCATTCTTTATTTACACAAAACACTAATTAAATTCATTTCGTTGTATTTTGTTTTATTAAATCGACATAAAATAGAGTTGTTCAAGATTCATTTTTTTTTATGCCGTGTGTGTATCTATGAAATAGGTGACTTGTTTTAATACTGATGGACGTTCATGTGATGATGGCTGTATCTTTGGGTTCTTTTTGGGATCCATTTAGGCTGATTGCTCTGCTTTGAACGCTGGCCGTGCGTTGCATTCGTTTTTGTGAGAGTCGCAACGATCGTGTACGTGGAAATGAACCAGTCTCTGCATCAAATGGATCGCTCAATTGGGTAGCAAGCATTGCAACATCGGTGTCACCAGTATCTAAGCTGTTGCCGTGGCCTTTGCCACTGCCACCACCACTGCCGGTTGTTTTTCGCGATAATTGTCGTGGTGTTGATATAAGTTTATGTTGCTTTTTACCGCATAAAGTTTCACGAAATGCGACACGATACCGATGCGACATCATATTATAGATGATTGGATTTATTGTACACGAAAAATAGTAGAAAAATCCCGAAATTGCAAATAAAATCGAATGTATCAATTCGAAACGTTTTCCATAAATCGATACAATGCGTTGTGCATGAAATGTGGTCCAACAAATGAAAAATGTGAGCACAACAACTGCCAACATTTTGATAATGGCACGTCTGGATTTCGATTGTTTCGTTGAACCACCACTGGTGCCGGTCGAACGGATGCCCAACTCTTTGGTATGCTTTGATCGTGATCGAATTTCAATGGCCATTTTGGTATACAGTATGCAAATAATCAACATTGGTATGGTAAAAAAGACAATGGTTGATGTTTGATATAGGCCGGGCGGTGATGAAAATGTTCCACAAAATGCTGATTCGGGTGTATCAATTGACTGTTCGCCCGTATAGTTATTCGGTGGTGGATATCGTATATAATTGATCGTACGATAATATGCAAATGGTGTTGCGCTCAATAGACTTATTAACCATATAGCAGCTATAATACGAACGGCACGTTTTAAACCGCTCATTGTATACGAATGCAATGGATAGCATATCGCTAAAAAGCGTTCCATTGAAAATGCAACGATTGTCAATACGCTTACATACGAACATGCTTCTGTCAATAATGAACGAAATTTACAAAATGGTAATCCAAATAGCCAGGGATATTGATGCCAATATACTAATATATCAAATGGTAAACCAAATAGCAAATATACCATATCCGAAACAGCCAAATTGAACAGATAGTAATTGGTTGCCGTATGCATTGATGAATTGCGTACGATGACAATGCAAACGATTAAATTTCCAACAATGCCAGCCAATAGTATTAACGAATAGACAAGTGTTATTGGTATCGCATACAATAGATTTTGCATTTGTGGTCCACGCTCGTGTGCGATAAAGTCGTTTCGTGAACAATTGAACGTAGTCATATTATCCTCATCGCATACATCAATGATTGAAACATTCATTTTTTTCTTATTCTTCTGCTGTTCCTCCTTCAATTTTAAGATGATGCGGTAATTTATCTTGAAATAGACAATTTCCATTAAAAGTCGTTTCATTGAATAACAATAAAATATAATGATTGTGAAATAAAAAAAGAAAATTTACTATACCTCATCAGTCAATAACAAACACCACATACACAAGAGAAAAAATAAATTTACTCTCGCTCTTGCTCCCTCTCTCTTTTACTCTCCGTTACTCTAACACAGTCACTGTTGCTCTCACTATCTCGACACAATTATCAAAATTCGCTCTTCGGTCCCGATAAAACTGACGTGTTTTTCATTTCAATGATTAAAATCGTATCGTACACACACCGTATGTATTGTTTCTATTTTTTTTTTGCTCTTTTATTCTCTACATTCTCTGTGTACTCGTTTTGCACCATTTGACTTTTATCTTTAAAACATTTTCTATCTCAGTCTCTTTTCACTGTAGTCGTTCTATGTCTATTTAACGTACAATGCAAATAAGATCAACCTTTATCTGGTGTCACAAGCCTTGAAAACACCATCATATTGTTCCTCTTTGACTCTAATTTGATTTGTTTTCTTCCTAGCTATTTTTCGCAGTAAATTAAATCACCAGCGTTATATATGACAAAAATAATTCGGATGCTATTTTGCACTATCTTTTCAATATTTTCTTGCGATGCTTTTTCACGTTTAAGATTTTTTCACGATATATTTAAGTAAAAATTATCACTGAATATATTAGGTTGCGGTCAGATCACAAAAAATAAACAAATTATCACGGAATTATAGTTATACATTATGGAAAAACTGTGTGTGGTCTTCCTTGTCGCTTTTCGATGAAAATCACGTCATTCACAAAAATAAAATATTATGGTTTTCCACGTCAATTTAATATCACAAATACATTATGTTAATTAGAGAAAAAAATCCCATGGAAAGTAGTTTTTCAGACGATTTTACTTCTTTTTTTTCTCTTCAAAATCAGATAATCGGAAGAAGATATAAAAAATGAGAATTTGTTATCGAGGATGTCTACATTAAACAGAAATATAAATGCAAATGAGAGAACACAAAGCAATTATCCATGAGATAGATAGATGAATATTATAGAAACAGATTCGTGAGGGAAAAGTACACGGCCGATAGATAAATGAAATTAAAAAGGAGAAAACAACAACAGACTAGCAACAACAGCGGCAGCAACAAAAAAATTATTGTGCGAAAGCGTGGACACACACAGAACACTCGACAATTTGCCGCACGTCTTGGGAGAGTGACAATATAGTGTGGCGGCAAAATGAAAAAGAGAGAGCGAGAGAGAGACGCAATGAAGCAAACTGAAAGCATCACCCAGCATCTCTCTCGTCGACACATAGGAATTGGCAACAGGCAACAAATGTTACTTGTCTATTCGTTGCGGCTATAGAGCACTAACAACAATCCATCAAATCGTCATTTGGTGCGCTTCATTCAGACTTCGTTACCTATACAGCCGACGATAGTTACAGTTTTGTTTAATCTTTGTTGCAGATTCGATTGTTGTTGTTTCCTCATTTTAATTTTGAAAGCTGCTTTGTGTAACATTGCTTCGATAACAAATGCGTATGTGAAAAATGATTTATTTATGAATTCATCTCTTACAGCGACACACACGCTGCGTGTAAGGTGTTATATTTGCTATTCGGTGGTGGGACCAGAAGGGGCCGTTTACAACTTAAGCGGAAAACGAACACGATTTTTAAGCGTTTCTGTCATTCCAATAAATGTTACGGAATGGGATTGACATTCGATGCGGAAAATGTATGCAAAATGCAAATAACGTTCATAGAACAATTAATATGGAGAATTTCAAATTTGGGCTCTCAAATTTGATTTTGAATGGGGACGTACAATTATCGAGTTTTAAATAACATCAAAGCTATTGTGATGATGATCCAGATTTGTAACTTAACAACAACGCACATTGCTTGTCGTTCTGACATTGACCTCTTTCAAACTCATTCTCTCTTTCAACCTGTCTTTCACCTTCTTTTGAAGAAACGGTCAATTTTCAGTGAAATGTGAGAGATGAATTTAGAGATTGGATTCATCAAATTTCAGTCAAATCGACGCCAAAAAGAATAATATCGCGTTGCATTCGCTGTTTGCAATTTTTTTATAATAACTCAATTTATATAAGAGACAAACTCATATTGGTTTCTCAACAAAATGTAGAAACGTCAAAATACGAATAAAATATTGATTTACACATAGAAACCGTTTTTTGGCTTTAAATTATTGAATAAAACATACATTCTACTTAAATGTCTCAGCTAAAGCATTGAAAAATATCTCCTATTTTGCGCTAACCTATTGAAAAATAGGACAAGATACTAGGAGATAGCACTTAGAATTTGGTAATTGTTGCATATATTGATTTCCCCTTTTGTTTATACATTTCAGCAGGAGTGTTTGAGTTTAAGTGACTTGGAATGATTTCTCTAATTGAAATTTAAAATTGTTTCATTAGAATGATTTGAATAGAAGATTTGATTTAAATTAAAAATTTTGATATATCGTTCGCAAAAAACACTGCTGAAAGATCTTATCACTGCTGAAAGAGGTCACAGAAGCTGAGTGTATTTGCTTGATTGGTCATGATACGAATTCGAATATTAATGTAATTTAATTAGAATGATTAAAAGCATCAAATAACAATATTATGTTATTTCAATTCGTAATCATTTTTCGGTGATATTTTGCGATGCTATTCAAATTTTTTAAATATAGCGTAGTTATTATTCAAAAGTTGAATTTAACTGTTAGGGCAACTTTTTTTTAGTGATCAGTGAATTGAATTGGATCTCTATTCTGTTTGAGGAATGAATTATGTTCAAATAAAAACCAGTGACCAATTCGCATTGCAGTATAGAGTACTTCGTTGTTGATATTGAATTATATTGACTCGATAAGGATTTAATTTAAACAATGAATTTGTGCGGTTCTTCTTCGTTTATGCTTTGAAGAAGATCCGCATAAAAGAGAATACGCAAAAACGATATTTTGTATGAAATTAGATGGAAAAATACAATTTTATACGGAGTGTCAACTAGTTCTCAATTTTATAAGACAAGCCATCTAGTTTTCATTGTATAATTTCTTTGTGTGTAAATTGTAGTTTTTCCGATTGACAGTTATTTTCGCAATATTTGTTTACATTTCCATTGCGAATGAACGTAATGAAAGAACGGTCCTTCGTCGGGGTTTGTGGACAGCAGTCTATGTATTTTGGATGGATCCTTCAGATTTCTTTTTGAAAAACTATCTATTTCTGCTTGCCGCTCTTCTGGTTCTTTTGACACGAATTCATCCATTTTATCGGCATCTATAACATACGCCATGGTATTTGCGATGAAAACAAATTTATCCACAGTGTCCGTCAGTAAACCAATAACCATCCGAAGGTCCTTCCATTTGGAATCGTTTTCTTCATTGCTACCGATGATTTGGTGATCTTATCTTCAAATAAATAGTTTATTTCAGATCGTTGATCATCTGCGATTTTTTAGCCTTCGTGGAAAATTAATTGATTTTGAATTTGGGATCGTATTTTACGGGTTATTTGTTGAATGTTTTTTTTTTTGGCCGGTGTTGATGTTAAGTTGAGTAACTTCTTTTTCGTATAATGTGTATCTGGTAAATACAAAGTCCACGGATCTTGTTGGAATTTAAACTCTGTACCATCAATCACAATACTATCTTTTGTAAATTTATATGACGATTCTGGTGAAGCTGATCGTGATGAAAATGATGTGGTGTTTTTGTTTTCGATTTGTGAGTCTTCAATATTAACGTCAACTGACATTTCACTTTTATCTTCATTTTCATCTTCGTCATTTTTTGACTCACTTGGATCCTCAACAATTTGCTTTTTTCGTTTTGCTGGTACTGGCATCGGCAGTTTAATCACTTTAATTTGCACATGCCGACCTGGATTTGCATAGTGTCGCTTTCGTACAAATCTTTTTTTCACTCCGGTCGCCTGTTTACTTTCTGAGTTCACCCTTCCGATATGACCTAAATGAAACTCAACTAGTTGAATGTTCAATATATACTGAATTTATTGAGAGTGGTGCGAGCACACCGCATCGAATGACAGCAACATCGGACGGGTGTGCAAAGATGCCTAAAGGCTTTACATTCATTATGTTGCTCACCAAGAAATGGTGTTATTAAATGAAACATTTCAAATTAAATCTGTTCGTTCAATGCGTTTTCGCTTTTAAAGGATTTATTTTTACATACTGCATGTGTTATTTCCACTCTGTTTGGTACATTTTTTTTGAATTCATTTGACTCAATAGTTGACGATGATGATTGACGGAAGGCGGACTGATGGCTAACAATAATACACATAAAAAGAAGAAAAATTGGGAGCTGGCTGCAGGTCTTTCTCCTGATCACCTTAAAAAAGATTTGGGTGTTTTTAAATGTGGAAATTACTAACATGGAACTTGGACATCCTTAGCATATTACTAGCTGCTTTCGGCTACATATATATACTAATGACTTCCAAACCGACAAAATTGCACTTTTTTCAATTAATTGCATCGATAATTTCAATTAATTATTTGTTTCGTTGTCATCGTTGCTTCCTACCGACTCCATGTTCCTCGAAAACAGACTGAACGCTCAACATTTTTTCGAAACGATTATTCGAGTGTCACAAAAAATTCTGTTATTTAAGGTTATAACTTTATGTTAAATTCATTTTGACAAAAATTCTTTCATATCGATCGAAATTCTTTTTGTAGCGAGTCCTATGCCGAAAAAACCGCGCTCAAAATTCTTTGTCAAGCGACCATATTTATTTTTTTAACAGCGACCAAAAAACATTCATAACAAGAATTTTATACGTGGCGACTAAAATTCCATTTCTCTCACGACCAAAAGTCCAGCGACCAAAATTCATAGAGCCAATTACGTTCAATGAAAATGATATATTTAGGTGTATGCAGAATAATTAAGGGATTGAAAAATATTCAAACACAATACATAATTCGTCCACGGTGTCTGCATAATCATTGTTATTAATAATATTATAATTCCATTTTTATTATTATTTATTTATTTACTTTCATTGCTTATTTTTTTTTTCAGAGGACAATTTGGCGGGCAAAACTTCTGTAAAAACCCTTTTTATCCTTTTTTTATGGAATCGTATTAGACTTCTCTTTCCTTTATAAATGTTTCATCGTCAATTATAGTATATTTATATTCACGATATTCAAAAGGATCAGCGCGAAATGCCTTGAATGCATCGATTGGCATGCTTATGTATACATCCAATATTTTTTCAACACCTGCAGCTCTAGCCAAGCTCTCAAAATACTCCTTGTAATCATCGAATAATATAAAATTAAGCTGGGCTCCCTTCTTCTGTTGACTGTTCGCATAGTCTTGCATATCTTTCAGCATTTCTGACTTAGATGGTAGTTCCTTGGCACCAGAAAAGAATTTAAGGGCAAAACGTGCCTGTTGATAATTTTTTTTAAAAAATTGATCATTACTTATACCAGGGCTGTTTTCTAATTACGTAAATAGTAAATATGATAGTTTGAGTAATTAAAAAACATTCAACTTGCTATAACATTCACCTGTAAATCGAGCGCTAAAAGCATTGTATCATAAGGTATTCTAATAAACGCCATAGTGGGTGTTCTATGAAAAATAAAAAATAAAGAATTAAAAAATATATATTTTACTGCAATAAATCCAAAACAGACCTATATTTATGATTTGTTTATACAATGGTTGCACGTATTTCTTATTATTATCAACATGAATACCAGAGTCAGCATCCAAAAATGTATACCGATATTTATAACCTGTGAAATCCAAGAATTCAACAAATACACATGTCTCTATAGATGAAAAAAGTTCAAAATACCTGTCCCATATATAACTGCTGTGAAATTTTGATGCGTGTCATCCATAAAGTCAGCTCCATTTGATGTAAAACGCTTCAAATTATCTTTAAATGTAACTTTGGGTCCATATTTTTTTCGAATATTTTCTGTGTCTCTGTATGTTCGTCTACTCCACGTTATTCGCTTGGCAACCTTCGAAAGTTGACGTATAAGATCCATACCACTCGGTCCATCGCCTACAACCAGAACATCAGCTCCTATTTTATTAAGTAAAACGAAATATATCAAAAATCGATTTGAAATGATTATAAATGAAAGCCGTTCTAAAGAATACTAATGACGGGATTAAAGGTAAACTTTTTAAACAAAATATTAGTGTTCGGTAAGAATAATGGATTCTATTTTGTATAATAAATGGATGAAGCTAGGGGGTTCCGACTTATACGAATGTTCCATATGCGAGCGAATTTTTCATATATATTTTGCAAATAGAAACGAATGGTCGCGAATGTTTCATACAAATTTTGCGAATGGTGGCGGATGTTTCATACAAATTTGCGGACGGTGTCGAATGTTTCATACACATTTTGCGGATGGCGCATATGAAAAGTCATATTTTTTCATTCAAAAAGTCAAAGTGACAGATTAGGTGACAGAGATTCAAGCCGAATTGATATTTTTTTGGTAATATTGAGTGATTTTTTTTTAAAAATGGTAAATAAATCTTTAATATATAATCACTGTAAACGGTGCCTTGTGAAAGGTTTTTATTTTCATTGAAGTAACTTTCAATTTCTTTTATATTATCTGAATTTATTTCTAAAATCTCACTTTTCGAATCGAACACGGCTTCTAAAATAATATTCAACAAATAATCTTGTATTTTTTTTTCAACTGTTTTTCAAATTTAGTTGAGAACAATGACATTGTGTTTGAAACTGCCACGACAGACTGAACACAGCAATGTGTATGTACACATGTCACACGACAGTTTTTCGCATCTAGCAAGACGTATGTGGCATTCGCGAATGGTTGCGAATGAAATGTACGAATTTTCATAGATGTTGATGCGGATGAATATACTTATCTTCGTATATTTCATGTATGAATAGGAAAATGTTCATATGAATCCTCTAGAATAAATACAACGTATGATACGGTCGCACACCATAGGTTGTTTTTACATACATTTTTTGCTGTATTTTGTATGACGGTGTTTCGCTTTGAAATGCAACCTTTTCATACGCTGTTTTTATTCTATAGCAATCATATATTTCGTATAAAATGGCATTCGCATATAGTAAAATGCCCCTAGGGATGAAGAATACACTGGCAATGCAATTTATTCAGCTAGTAGAAATACTAGCAGAATATTTTCATTTATACTAAGAATGATAAGAAACATCTAAACGAATGATAAGAAACATCTTTAACAAACCGCGAAAGTCTTCAGCTCTACGATAATCATGGCTATGTATGATTTTGCCCTTAAATTCGTTAGCGCCTTCAAATTCTGGATAATTTGGAGAAGAATATTGATGAATACAAACAAAAACAACATCAAAAGTCAAAGACTCAGGTTTTTTTGGGTAAATTTTTCACAGTTATATTCCATTTGTTGTTTTCAATCAAACGAACTTTGTCAGCCAAATGATGGAATTTAATATGTCTCTTCACATCGAAGCGATCAGCGTAAGAGTTCAAGTACTTCCATACATCCTCATATGATGGATATGATCGAGTATTATTTGGAAATTTATGGTCTACTGAAAGTTGCATATTTTGGTGAGGTATATCTATTCTGTTTTGAGAGTAACAAATAATCAATATTTTTTGTATTCGGTTTTGCAGTAAATAGTAAAAGTACCTTAGCCCTTGGTACATGGCGCTGTGAATATCAACACCATACTCATCTTTTCCGGTTTTATCTGTGTACCACCATGTTCCGCCAAGCGCCTCACCTTTTTCGTAAACCACCACATTATGTCCTTGTTCGAGAGAATTTTTCGCACTAGTCAACCCTGATGGTCCAGCTCCGATAACGGCAATATTCAAAAACTTCGATAGTAGTCCATGTACGCCCAGAATTTCAAGTATCAAAACCAAAATAATACACTTACCGCTCGGCATCACATTCATTTTACTTGAGTTTGTAAGAAAAACAAAAATAAAACTAGTTTAATTTTCTAAATTTGATTTTCTGGTAAGAAAAAAAGGTATTATTTACAATAAAAGAGGTGAACTTTACAAAAGAGAAAAATTAATGTTTTTTTTTTCTTTCAATTAATCGTTTAATCTGCTCCGTTGTAGCTGTTTTAGTTCAAATCACAAAGTGGTATGATATTTATACTCGTTTGATAACGGATAAGTCGTACAAAATGACATGTGTTAGAAATAATAAATAATCGCCGCGACCAAAGTTCTTTTGAAAAATTTTGATAGCTATCAAAATTCCTTTTGTAGCTATCAAAATTCGATGAGACTATCTAAGACTCACTTGTCATAAAGTCATTAATTAAATAACATAATTTTTTGTGAAACTCGAATAATGGTTTTGAGAAAATGTTGAGCGTTCAATCTGTTTTCGAGGAATTATTTTTGGAGTTAGTATTGGGGTTAAACTTTGATCGTTATGAGATTTTATATTGAAAGTAAACATTTTTATATTCAATTAATCGTATTTTCTATAGTTAAAACCGCTGCGATAATATTTGAGACTCAATTTTTGAGATAATATTTGAGACTTCATTCTTACTTTTACCTTTCGTTATCACATGATTCTGATTTTGTTTCTTCTGATTTGTTGCCACTTGCAAAAATTTTGCTTGATTACTTAATTTTATCTATTATTTCTAACACGTGTCATTATGTGCGACTTATCTGTTATCAAACGAGTATAAATATCATACCACTTTGTGATTCGAACTAAATCAGCTACATCGGAGCAAATTAAACGATTAATTGAAAGAAAAAAAAAAACATTAATTTTTCTCTTTTGTAAAGTTCACCTCTTTTATTGTAAAAAATACCTTTTTTTCTTACCAGAAAATCAAATTTAGAAAATTAAACTAGTTTCATTTTTGTTTTTCTTACAAAGTCAAGCAAAATGAATGTCGTGCCGAGCGGTAAGTGTATCATTTTGGTTTTGATACTTGAAATTCTGAGCGTACATGGACTACCGCCGAAGTTTTTGAATATTGCCGTTATCGGAGCTGGACCATCAGGGTTGGCTAGTGCGAAAAATTCTCTCGAACAAGGACATAATGTGGTGGTTTACGAAAAAGGTGAGGCGCTTGGCGGAACATGGTGGTACACAGATAAAACCGGAAAAGATGAGTATGGTGTTGATATTCACAGTGCCATGTACCAAGGGCTAAGGTACTTTTACTATTTACTGCAAAACCGAATACAAAAAATATTGATTATTTGTTACTCTCAAAACAGAATAGATATACCTCACCAAAATATGCAACTTTCAGTAGACCATAAATTTCCAAATAATACTCGATCATATCCATCATATGAGGATGTATGGAAGTACTTGAACTCTTACGCTGATCGCTTCGATGTGAAGAGACATATTAAATTCCATCATTTGGTTGACAAAGTTCGTTTGATTGAAAACAACAAATGGAATATAACCGTCAAAAATTTACCCAAAAACAAAACTGAGTCTTTGACTTTTGATGTTGTTTTTATTTGCATCAATCAATATTCTTCTCCAAATTATCCAGAATTTGAAGGCGCTAACGAATTTAAGGGCAAAATCATACATAGCCATGATTATCGTAGAGCTGAAGACTTTCGCGGTTTGTTAAAGATGTTTCTTATCATTCGTTTAGATGTTTCTTATCATTCTTAGTATAAATGAAAATATTCTGCTAGTACTGAGCTGAATAAATTGCATTGCCAGTGTATTTTTCATTCATTTATCATACAATAGAATCCATAATTCTTACCGAACACAAATATTTTGTTTACAAAACTGTACCGTTAATCCCGTCATTAGAAAAGTATTGACAATGTCATTTTGTATATGGCACTGCTAATGTATTCTTTAGGACGACTTTCATTTATAATCATTTCAAATCGAGAACGTTTTTTGGTGTTAAATTTTATTTACCCAGCTAGATAACATTCAAATCTTATCGACATTGTTGACTCGCAACAAAAATGTATTTTTGATATATTTCATTTTATTAAAAAAAAAAAGGAGCTGATGTTCTGGTTGTAGGCGGTGGACCGAGTGGAAGAGATCTTATACTTCAACTTTCGAAGGTTGCCAATCGAATAACGTGGAGTAGACGAACATACAGCGAAACGGGAGAAATGCGAAAAAAATATGGGGACAATGTTACATTTAAAAAAAATTTGAAGCGTTTTACATCAAACGGAGCTGACTTTATGGATGACACGCATCAAAATTTCACAGCAGTTATATATGGGACAGGTATTTTGAACTTTTTTATTCTATAGAGACATGCGTATTTGTTGAAGTTATTGTTTTCTTTATAAATTGAAAGTTTTGCTGTTCAAAATAGCAAAAAATAAATAAAATGTATTCTTGGATTTCACAGGTTATAAATATCGGTATCCATTCTTGGATGATGACTCTGGTATTCATGTTGATAATAATAAGAAATACGTGCAACCATTGTATAAACAAATCATAAATATAGGTCTGTTTTGGATTTATTGCAGTAAAATATATATTTTTTAATTCTTTTTTTTTTTTTTCATTTTTCATAGAACACCCCTCTATGGCGTTTATTGGAATACCTTATAATCCGCTGCTTTTAGCGCTGGATTTACAGGTGAATGTTATAGCAAGTAGAATGTATTCTATGTAATGAGAATAAAGCCCTCGTTTAAGTAATGATCTTTTTTTAAATATATCAACAGGCACGTTTTGCCCTTAAATTCTTTTCTGGTGCCAAGGAACTACCATCTAAGTCAGAAATGCTGAAAGATATGCAAGACTATGCGAACAGTCAACAGAAGAAGGGAGCTCAGCTTAATTTTATATTATTCAATGATTACAAGGAGTATTTTGAGAGCGTGGCTAGAGCTGCAGATGTTGAAAAAATATTGGATGTATACATAAGCATGGTAATGGATGCAGCCAAGGCAATTCACGCTGATCCTTTAGGATTTCGTGAATATAAATATACTATAATTGACGATGAAACATTTATAAAGGAAAGAGAAGTCTAATACGATTCCATAAAAAAAGGATAAAAAGGGTTTTTATAGAAATTTTGCCCGCCAAATTGTCCTCTGTTAAAAAATAAGCAATGAAAGTAAATAAATAAATTATAATAAAAATGGCATTTTTATTCGTTAATAACAATGAGTATGCAGACACCGTTGGACGATTATGCGGACCCGTGATTCGATGGGAATATAGTAACAATACAGATTCATACTTTGAAATACGTACTCTGAAAAAGTAAATTCTCAAAAACAGAGCATTGAAATTTGCAACCCAATAAATACACTGCCAGTCTTTGGCCGTAGGATTCCTTTATTTCACATGGAACTGAATAGCGTGCTTTAATTTTTGTAAGAGAAGACCAAAATGACGCTCCAGCGAATAATTTTCTCGTGGATAATTGACACAAACTGCACACAAGACCTGAATGTATACCATAATTTATATGCTAATTAACGTTTTCATTCACTGTAAGCAGAAAGTGCATGTTACACACATTCTGTATCATCTCTTTCTCTCTCTCTCCGTCTCATGGTCGATGGTAAACCGACGCACAAAATAGAATAACATAATTGCGATTGGCTGTCTCGTTGGTTTGGATTTGAATAATGTGCGCAATTTAATAATCAGGTTCATTTTCAGTCCTTCGTCCATAGATTGGATAGCGCAGCTTGAATTCTTATGATAGAAAAAATGATGACTGATTATGTATATACGTAGGTTGCTCCATAATTTTTTTTAAAATGGTACTTATAGTGTTGCCCGATGTAAACCATTGTCATATTCGTAAAGTTTGATGTTTTGGTATGTATTCGTGCCCTGAACCTTTTGTCGTACGAACGCTATTTGTATTGTTTACAGTGACTGGTAAACTGCGACTCAACAAAAAAATGAATTTTACACGTGAAGATTTTCGTAAAATGATTTACTACGATTTTCGAAGTAAATTATCTCAACAACAGTGTTTCGATCGACTTCATTTGGCCTTTGGCAATGAAGCACCAACCCTTCAGACAATTTATAACTGGTACCGAGAATTCCGTTGCGGTCGTAGTTCGCTCAAAGACGAGTTTCATACAGGTCGTCCAAAATCGGCTGTTGTGCCACAAAACATCGATGCTGTCAGAAAACTGATTATGGAAGATCGTCATGTGACCTACCGTGAGATTGAGGCATCTTTGGGCATTTCATCCCACAGCATACATACAATTTTGCATGAACATTTAGCCGTAAAAAAGATTTGCTCTCGTTGGATCCCACATAAATTGACCGATGAACAAAAAATGGCTCGTGTGAGTTGGTGTAAAGAAATGCTCAAGAAATTCAATCGTGGTGCTTCAAAAGACGTTAATAAAATCGTCACTGGTGACGAATCGTGGATATATGCCTATGAGCCCGAAACGAAACAGCAGTCGACTGTATGGGTCTTCCAAAATGAAGATAACCCAACGAAAGTTGTTCGAGCAAGAAGCACTTCGAAGCGAATGGTCGCCTGTTTTTTCGGGAGAAGTGGTCATGTGGCAACCGTTCCACTAGAGGATCGTAAGACCGTCAATTCTGATTGGTATACCACCATTTGTTTGCCCGAAGTGTTTGGTGAAATAAGAAAACACAACCACCGTCGCAAAATAATTCTTCATCACGATAATGCGAGCTCTCACACATCTTTTCAAACTACTCGATTTTTGACCGGTCAAAACATCGAACTGATGGGTCATCCACCGTACAGTCCTGACCTGGCACCCAATGACTTTTTTTTGTTCCCAAGCGTGAAGAAAAAACTACGTGGTCAACGATTTTCGACACCAGAAGAAGCAGTTGAAGCGTTCAAAACACACGTTTTGGAGATATCAGTTTCGGAGTGGCACGAATGCTATGACAAATGGTTTCATCGAATGCAAAAGTGTATCGATCATCTCGGGGAATATTTTGAAAAACAATAAAACCATTTTCGACAAAAAACAACTGTGTTATATATGTTTTTAAAAAAAATTATGGAGCAACCCTCGTATTTGATTATAGTTTTGAACGGTTGCAAACATCCAGTTCCATGTCTCTATTTTTACATTACTTGAGCTTTGTTACAACCACAACCATCAATTTGCCACAACGCCATTTGCGTGTGCGTACAAGTGCGAGTGCGTGCGGTTTCATCTCCAAAATTGCTTTCAAGTTGTATTTTACTCAATAATTAAGCGATAAAATGACACATATCTCATTTCGGTTAACCGTTCTCATATCATGAATTGTGTGAAGATTTATTGTAATTTTCGAGTCAATGCGGTTTAAATTTGATACAATATTTATATAAATAGGTTTTGATTCAATAGAATGCGATGAAAAGAATTCGGCGAATGAGAGATATTTTTTTTATTGTTGAAAAGTGTGTGTCCGAAAATATAATTTCAGTGATGAACAAAATTTGTTTGATACTTATTATTTGAGGTCAGTGAAAATAAGAAGGAAATTAGTGGTTTCCTAGCTTTTCATCATAAAAAATCAAAACCGCTAAAACTGGATTGGAAATTAAAATTCTATAACCAAACTCAAATCTCGAAGCATTTTTTTCGTTACATCATTGCGGTAACGTGACAAAAAAACCATTTTTCTTACATGTCTCATATCGGTCGGTATTATTTTTGACATCACTTTGCAATTGAACTATAGAATTTCATGCTTGATTGAATGTGTATGAGTGTGAATGTGGATGTTTGTGGTTTTTCGTATCAATAATGTGTGTGAATGTGCGTGTTTTTTTTCCGCAGCTGTTTGTTATTCATGGATTAATACAAATGCACAAAAACATTGAGCATCGTTAGTGTGTGCGAAATGATGTGTTCAGCATACAAGCGATTTTATTTGTGAGAAGCGGCAAGAGTGACAGTTGTTGTCGTTCACACAATTGAAACGTAAATAAAAACGAAGTTTACGCATCGTCGAATTATTAGTTGACTTGCGGCAATTGACACGATTAAGTATCAGCTGATTAAAGCAATAGTTTCAAGTGCTAACAACAAGTGGAATTTTGCAACGCACAAAAGAAAAAAAAACAACAAACAAAACTTCAAGTGGTTGATTGAAGCAGCGTAAAGATTTTTCAAATATAACAGAGTCAATACGACAAGAGAAAGTGTAAGACGTTCATAAAAAATGGTGCAAATTATTGAAGATGCATTCGGTTCAGTGAAAGATCCAATAACTGGATTTGACGAACGGGTGAGACGATTTACATTCAGCAATGATAATGGCGTTTCGGTTCAAGTCATCACGTATGGCGCAACAGTGACAGCCATTCGAATGCCTGATAAGTATGGCAATATTGCAGATATTGTTCTGGGATATGACGATTTGGAAGGTTAATTTATTTCATTTTTGTTAAATTCTCAAGAAAATCTGATTTTTTTGTAACGTTTTTCAATTTAGGCTATCGTTCAAAGTCCAATCCATATTTCGGTGCGACTGTTGGACGGGTTTGCAATCGCATTGGATTTGGCCAGTTTAATTTGAATGGAAAACATTTCGAAGTGGATAAAAATTTGAACGGAATGCATCAACTTCATGGTGGAACTGTGGGATTTGATAAATTCAATTGGCAAGCATATCAATCGAACTCGAAGGTAGTGATGACACATGTTAATCCAGACGGCTATCAAGGCTATGAAGGAACGGTAATGGCTCAAGTCACTTATGAACTACATCCGGACAATACATTTTCCGGCAAATATACAGCCACCGTTTCGAAACCAACACCCATCAATTTAACCAATCATTCGTATTTCAATCTAGCTGGCCATGTAATGCACCATTTACAAATCGAATTGTATCGCTTTATTTTAATGTTTATTTTCAATTTTATGCAGGACAAAGGTCATACGGAAATCTATAATCATGTAGTAACACTGAACGCAGATCGTTACACCCTTACCGATAAGGATTCAATTCCTACCGGACAATTTCAAAATGTAACTGGCACCAATTATGATCTGCGTGTGGGCTGTAATCTTGGCCAATACATTGCCAAACTTAAAAATAACGGATATGATGATAATTTCTGTGTAACTCGTGGCACCGATCAATCGCTGACATTTGCTGCTCGGTATGCCTTCATTTTTTTATCACGTAAACACATAATTGGGGATAATTTCAAGACGATATCACATTGTCAACAAATTTAAATGCAAAAAAAATGTCAACAATTCCAATGGGGTACAAAAGTAAACAGAGATAATTTTTAATGACAAAATGATTGGATTCATTATGAAAATAGCAAAGTCCAAACAATAAAATTCAGCTCAAGTTAAAATACGCTTGAAATCCAATTCTATCCAGATTGAATTTTAGTTTAAATAAAACTAAGAGCAAATTCATTGAAACCAATGTAGCCAATTTAACGATATAATTTCATATTATTAATTTCAATCTGTTTGATTAAATGAAAAAATTAAATCATATTCAGTGTGGCCCATCCCAAATCTGGCCGAGTATTGGAAGTATACAGTGATCAACCGGGTGTTCAATTTTATACCAGCAATGGTATGCCCGATCCAAATAACCAGGTACTTACATTTTTTTCCGTGTTCAATTGAATATGATTTTTTTTACTGTAAAAATCTTGAAATTTACAAACGTCAAATTTGTATGATTTTTATATGAAATTTTAATAATTATTCACATATTTATAATTATTAATTGATACTGTTTTTCAGATTTATCCGGAAGGCAAACCACATGATGACAAACCAATGAGTGATGCAAACGAACCAATATTTGGTAAAGATGGTGCACTCTATTTTAAACACGGTGCATTCTGTTTGGAAACTCAAAATTATCCAGACGCTGTGAATCATGTAAGTAAACCGAGGTCGATAAAAATTAAGTTGTGAACTTTTTGGTTCCAAAATTACATTTATTTACGATTTTTTTGTTCACATTTTTCTATTTAAAAAAAATTAATTCTATTTACAGCCAAACTTCCCGAACTCAATTGTATATCCCGGTGAAGTATACAAACATGAATTTACGTACAAGTTGTTCTGCTCCAGCTAAGCTGTACGCGCTCAAGATTTCATATGGAAAATACTTGCAACTCATTTATTATATGATATAATCAGCAATATTTTAAAAAATACAGTAAATGCAACTAACGAAAAGAACAAGCAAAAAACGATTTTTATTTAATGAATTGTATGATTTTTTTTGTTTATGAAAGACTTTTTTTATTTCGTGTTTTTTTGCTTGCATCACTTACCTAAATTTGACTGGATTTCAAGCGTTCATTCACTGCTAATTTCAAAAATTTCTCAAATAGATCGAAATTTAAATGTAAATAGTACTCAATTAAATACAATAATTTGTTTTTTATTCAAAGGTGATTAGGAATCATTCATTGGGATCGCACATATAATTTCATTTCTCTATAGATAGAACATTTATTTTCATACTAATTGATTTGATAAATGCGGCTTTGTTTTGAGCTCATTACCATCAATGTTCTTGAATTTTCAATGGCATTACAGAAATATACAAAACAAGCATAGCCAGCGAAAAAGCCCTGACAATCCAAAAAAACATGCCACAGAAAAGTGAATGGCATGGGCAATTTTTTTTGCTAATTCGATTTTTTTTGCTTTTATTTTATAACATCAACAAATTCAATTTCGAAACAAATGAAAGAACCGTTTAAAAATGAAAAAGAATTATTTTTAAATCGCTTTCATTCTATTTTCTAAGAATTGCCTTTTAATCGAAATTCGCATAATAAAAAAATAATAAAAACAAAAACACACACACATCTGTTTGCATAACGTGTTGGTTTTATTTGGCGGTAAGTAAAAGCAGCAAACGAACGATTCGATGACTTTTATGAACTAAATCTGTTATAATGAGATCATTAAATGAAAAATTAGCAATTCTATTTTGTGCTTATCTGCATGTGAATGTATTTTTAGTCGTTGTTCGAGTTTTTATTTTTATTGTGAAACTCCCTTTCTATCTCCCTCTATGAACGTTTCAATTATATGATTATTAATTGGAATTTTATAATTTAGATGTGTAGACAGTGTCGACAATAGCCACTGGTTGAGAACAGCTGTATCATAACGAATGAATGAAAGAGGTTAAAATAAAAGAACCAATTCCTCTTCTCATCCAAATATCACCTGACCTTTAGCCGGTTGAGCTATTTGGGTTGGTCAAAAATACCTCATGGCCAGAGAATTTGATTTCAGCACAAAGCGTTTTAGATGATTACACAATTTTTAAAAGCACCTTTAAATTAATGCTAAATCCAAAAAGATCCATTTTCTTCGAATCACCAAATCGTTTCGACATAAATTTACCAGTGATTAATTTTTCCAATGGCATGGCATAAAAAATTCGGACTTTTATGCAGACGAGAATCAAAGTGTCTATCGAGATGTTATCTATGGAGTGAAATTTCTAAACAACAACGAGAAAAAAAACCCGGATTTTTCTTTTTTTTTTTCTTTTACACATTTTTAATCTATGGAATTCTCAATGAAGATTATTAAGTATTTTTGGCGGTTCATTTTGTTTTTTTTTCTTCTCTATAATATATGATGTTTACATTTAATTTAATGTTTTGTGTGTGTATGTGTGTGTGTGTATGAGTGAGTGTATTTGTGATTGTATGGTTTTTTTGTGTTGGTCTTTTGTTAAATGCGACTGGCTCAAATATATATATTCTATGTTTAATTTTTTTCAAAGCAATTTTGATTTGCAAAAAAGAAAAACCAAAAAAGAAAAATAAATTGGCGATGTCAAATGGTTTACAATAATTTATATATTTATATCAAAGACAGACGATTTATCTGCCCATCCAAACATACACCACTGGAAATGTTTTTTTTTGTTTGTTTCTTTCTTTGTCAAATTCATCTTAACTTTCATTGTTAAATTAATTACTAATAATAAAGGTGTGTGTTTGTGTGTATGTGTGTGTGATTCTAATCTCTAATGTTTTCTTCAATAACATACATACATAAATATTATAGAATATATTAGTATATATTTGATTTAATTTTATTAATTTTTTTTCATTTTATATTTATTAAATTAAGGTGCATAAGCCTCGATACAGTCGCTCAATAGGAAGAGAAATTTACGAAAAAAAAAAAATTAAGTAAAATCGTGCGTGCGTACAAACATCAAATATACATCGAATCACATATTGGAACGTGTTTTACAACAAACTGCGCGCATTTCCATACCATTTGATTGATCTTATGATCAACATAATATTCTTCTTGCCATTTATTTTTTTATTACAAATGTCGCAGTAGTTTGCGTTCCAAATCTTGTTCTCTCTCTCGCTTTTTTCTGTCATGCTCATAATCATATACATACTATATTCGTGCGCATTACCTAAACAAACTATCTTCCTAAATTACGCTTGAAAAATTAAAATTTAAAAATACACATATTATAAACTAAATTGTATAATAAATTAAAATCACAAAAATACAATGAAAAAAAAAAGAATAATAAAGAAGAATTATTATATTATAATTATAATGCGATCAAAATGAAGAAAACGAAAAACAAACAGAGAAAAAATAACCTATAAGTAAACGATTTTGTCCTAATAAATAGTAATACTTGGTTGTTGTGTGCGTTTGTTGTTTTTTTTTTTATTTTAATTATGCCGCTATCTCTCACTCTCTCCCTTTCGAAATTTGCGTCTTTATTTCAATATAAATATACAAATTAATTCGTTTCCTTTCGTTTTAATTCAATTTCATTTTATCGCTAACCAAATGAATCGATTCACATGTATTTCAAGTTTATAATTTAACTTAGAAAAATAGAAAATGATTGAGAATGTATTTGTTGAGGGGGGCGAAGGCGGTAAAAATCTTCGATTGAAGTTCAAAAAAAAACAAATGCACGCGCACACAAGATGACCAATGGAACAATGATCAATTGAGAAATAATGAATGGCTCAAGTACATGTATATTGTATCGAAATGTGATGGTATATGCATAAATGGATGAAAGTGGCTTAAACTCAATCTATTGCATAATCAAATCTTAATTTAAAAAAGAAGAACAAAATGTCGTCTCTGTGACAAATGAAAAATGGTAAATCCACAATCAAAATATTTGCTTATGAATTCAAAATTGAAACGAGTACATTTCAAAGTAATTTTTCATTCGAATAAATGGTCCATATTTTCTTTCTCTTTTTCAAAACTGTTCAAAAAATCGAACAAAAAAACAAATTAACAATACATGGAAAGAAGATATTCAAAAATCTATATATACAAAATACAATGTGTGTATGTGTGCGGTGTGTGTGTGTTTAATATAAATAAAGTAGCTTCAAATATTATATTTATATATGTATGTAATGGGTTGTGAAACCCTTAAATTTCATGGTAGTGAAATGAAAATGCATGACACCAAATTAGATCGATTTAAATTTAAATACACAAAAGCTATTTCAAACTTGTCAAAAGTGTTGAATTTTCTGAATTGGTTCGGCAGGTGAAAGCAAAAGATCGTTCATACGTATATAAATATATATATAAAAAAAAGAAAACAAAACAATACATTTAATTGTTTTTGAGCACGAAATATCTTCCGATGATGATCAACATTTCCGATGCGCACACTCCCATTTTTTTTTCTCGAGGGAATTTCCCCGACTCATCATTCCATCCGGGATTTATTTCTTTTATTTGCCAGTTTGTGCTGAGTATTTACTAACTTGAGAAAGATTATATTGGTTTTTCTATGTGTATGTGTATGTGTATGTATTATGCATGTGCTTTGTTATACATGCTGTGCTCATCCGGTCGGATATTTCGATTTACTTCTAATTCCTACTTATTCGTTTTTCTTTTCATTTTGTCACTAAAACGGAAATTCCCCTTTTTTTTCTTTCATAATAATTGATCTACATACTATGGCAAATTCAGTCAAAAAAATTTCTTATATAGGCCATATAATTTACATATATGGTTCGATGCATGTTTGAACGTTATTCCATATTAAATAATAATTTTTTTTTCTCCTCCTTGCATGGGTGTCTTATTATAAATTGGAAAATGACATAAATTTTTGTTTGTTCGATGATGTTTAAATGAAATTGGACTGTAAAGTGCTTACAAACTAACATTTAGTGAACAATTGTGTGTGTTTCTTTCTCTTTCTCTCTCTCTCTCTATTTCCTCTCTCTCTATTTTGAGATACAAAAATTATTACTCAATATGAACAAAGAAAAAAAAACAATGCTGGAAATATCTCTTCGACACTTCAGTCGCGGAATTGAAAAACATAGGATCTGCGGCTTCCGCCATACTTATGTAAAATCGGCAGAGTTAAACACATTCAATGCAACAGAGTCAGAACACTGAGAAAACGAATTGTCAAAGAAGCATTGTTTTGAAATGTCAAAAAAAATGACACAAAATTATTGATGTTCCTTTTAAATTTATAATTAGAATTTTAATTATGAAAACTCCAGGACAACAACAACAACAACAGAAAAAAATGAAATAGAAAACATGACAACGTGATTCATTTAAATTAGTTCGTATCACGTTCGTTTTTTCTTGTAGAGACATCAAGATTTAGTGTGAGCTCAATTATATTTAATTTGGTTTAAACGATGCGCTGCATTGAAGTTTTAGCATCGCGACAGAAGCGCGATACCGAAGAAAAAGAATTGAAAACGGGCACAAAAGAAAAACGGAGGTGAGAACTGAGAAGAAGGAAAATATTAAATGGAAAAACCATTTGCAGTTGCAAATAACACACAAAATCGATCACATTACACTAGAGGCGGTGGTGTTCGGCTATGATTTTGTAAGCGAAGCTCACGCGGTACATGTTGCGATAGGATGATTTGCTCTTGATCATGCGGTCTTAGTACAAAATCTGGATTATCAATATCAAATGTTGACGACAATGGAAAGTGTTGTTTTCGATGTTGTTGATGGTGATGATGATTGAATCGCATCGAATTACCATGTTGTAAGCGTCGTAGTTTCTGTCGATTTCGATGTGATTTACTGTGTGATGATAGCAATTGATTGGTCGCTTGGCTGGATGATGCTGGTATCCATCGATTTAAGTTGGTCGATAATGCGGTCGTTGAATTGTGTTCGCAACCAGTTTCACGTCGCCAATTATCCGATACAAAACCACCAACACGTTTACATTCATGCGCATAAGCCGAAAAACTGTCACAATAACATTTACCAGATGGACATTCGCACATATCCTTACGACATGATTCAAAATAATGTTCTGGATTTAATCGGGTGCCACAATCATCGAAAATCTCTGATTCACGCAATGGCTTACAAAATTGGCCACCTTTTTTCAGTCGACATATTGGTGATTTGGCGAGATTTTCATGCTTTCGTGAGCATGCCTTGATTCCACCGACCTTCCATGAATTGGCGAAACGCCACACATCATCAGTGTAATTGATACCACGTCTCGATGTCAAATCGTCACGATACACATTATCTATACGAAATAGAATTTTAAAATAGAAATTTCAAATTTAATTGCGCATCCGATTTTTTTTCGCAAACAAAAAAAAAAGAAAAAAGTTTTTTATTCAAATTTGAAACTGTGAATCGACAAAAGTATCGGTAATATTTTTCTGCAAACTTACTGTAATTTCCACAAAGGCCACAGAGTTTCTTCTTGTATGAGGTGGCCGCTTGAACTTGAAGAAAATTACTACCATCCCATAGAAGATTAATGCCAATTTCAGTGTTAACACTGATTCCCTCATCGGTTCGCTGAATGTCTAGTAAATTGTCTAATTTATATGGTGGCGTAATACGTGTTCCGTTCACTTTGACGCGCATTTTTCGCCCCAAATTCACTCGAATTGTGGGCATCTTAAGTGTTACCGTTTTTATCCATGACGATGATTTGGTGCTACGTGCATCATTTGTTACACGTATTGAAAATGATTGATTCATACAGTCGGCCGTTAATTGATACTTGCATGATCCTTGAAAACTAAAGAATTTCCCATCGAATGTTTTGTAGTGTGGATCACCAAAAACGGTACAAATACCGGCACCTATGACCAACAGCAACAACAACAAAAAATAATGTATCATAACATTTCATATTTATTGAAAACGAATCACTTACTTTCTTCGCACCGACCACAACACTGACCATCCGGTTTAACGAGCGTTTCATTTGGTCGACATTTTATAGTCGGACATTTGGCCTGTGCACATCGAATTTCACCTTCATGACATCGACATGATCGACACGAATCCAAATTCCATGTGTCATTGTTCTAAAAAAAACGGCGAAATTTTATCTTCTTCTTCCTTTTTCACAATCGTTTTTAGTTGTCAATATAATGTAAAATATCAACTTACCTGATACGTTTTACCATCGTGTGTGCAAGTTGAACGAGCTTTGGCAACCGGTGGACAGTGTGGACAGCATTCGCCTGGTGTTAGTTTTTGATATGTTGGTGAACATTCAAGTACTGGGCATGTTTCGCGTCGACAAATTGATGTACCATTTACGCAGGTACATGTCGAGCATTTATCTGGACTGTATTGTCTGCCATCGTCATAAAATCCTTTGCCCAATATACAACGTCCGGGAAATGGTTTAACTTGACGTTTTTCACTACATTTTGGACAGCATTCACCCGGCAATTTAATCTGTTTGGATGGTGGACATTGGAGTACGGGACATGCTTTTTTAACACATGTCAAACGTCGATTTGAACAAGAGCATTTTAAGCATGGATCTTCGCTAAGTGTCACTTCACGTCCGTCTTGTACTGTTTGGCCGTTTAGACTACATCCTAAAATGATGAAATCAAATAAAAATAATTTTTTCTCTTTTAATTGATCATTTTTTTTTTCAATGAATTATTCAATGTGATTTATGCAGAAGTAAAAAAAAAATCTTTCTTTTTTCGTTGCTTCACGCATCGATTAAAATTGATTCAATTGTACAAATTGAAGCCCACTGTATACAAAAGATGGTACACAATATCTCCAGATAAAATTTTGCGGCTCCAAGCACTGCCCACACAGTGCTGAGTCAGTATTGCCCCCTTCTGTTTCTTTCACTCAATCGAAGAAACAGAAACGTTTATTTTTATCAAATTTTGCTTCAGCTTATCGATGTGTCTTATTTTTCATCTCTTGTCTTTCACAATGGAAAGTCTATTTAGCACAATAGATATTTAACTTTTGAAGAGTAACATCTCAAAGTGTTTGTTTGGAAGCTTTTTTTGTCGTATATTGTCAATGTTCATGAGATCACATTCAAAAGCATAGATGACTTTAAGCCGTTGGTAAACAACAGCACAAAGGCGAACATAGGACACTGGACAATGATTTATGGCTCCTTTAGTGTCATTTCGAATGGCAAAGTATTATCAAACAATTCCGAATTATATGATTCGTTTATAGTTTGTTATAGAGCGTTTGTATTTAGTGTGCTTTAAATGTTTATATAATGTGTACAGTATGTAACTTTGATATAACGCAACTCAAGAGAAAAAACAACAGTAGAACAAAAAATCATACACACAAACCTATTAAATGTTATTTTTTTTCGGTATTCGTCTTTTCATTCTGTTTGGCACTTGAATAGACATCTCTCGCCCATATGAAAATAATAATATATCAATTGCAGCGAATAAAGCTTCCAGATTTATGTTTTTTTTTTCTCTTGCGTCAATTTAAATGCACTGAAAGCAAACGATTCGGGGTTTTTTTTTCGTTGGGCTTTTTATTTGAGAATGGTTGACAAATTGTAGCCAGCATCTAGTGGCCAAAAGTCACAAAAGTCAGATGTGTATGCGTTTGTGTATGTTTAAACTAAGTGATATATGGCGAGTAACACAATTTAAAACTGTGTAATGTTATTTACATTTATTTTTATGGGGATCATTTGTGTCGCCGTTTTTCGAGCGTGCATTTGGGCCGGATCTTAGTGCTCTTCTGCTTGAGCAAATAACCATTTGAAGATCTTAATCGTTGTAATTTTTGTTCTTTCTCTCTCTTTATCTATCTATCTTTTGCTCTTTTAAAATTTATAATATTGATCTATGGTTATTTTATCAATGACGGCAAAATAAAAGTGTACACAAGCGACGACTGTGCGAAATCAGTTTCTTTTTCAAGCTTGTGCATTAAATCTTTCTCTCTTACACACATACATGGTTCGATCTCAATATCAAATGGCACAAATCGCCATTAAATAATTCTTTATTATTGCGTTTTGTATCCCTTATATCACATACACCATTTTCAATGAACGCATTTGTTTTTTATATCAGTCTCTCTCTCTCTCTCTCTCTCTCTCTCTCTCTCTCTCTCTTCATTTTTCACTGTTTATTTCATACTCGGATTGCGATTGCATTTACTCCTTTTATGATTCCGGTTTGAATTATTATTGCACTCTTAAAGAGACATTTGGTTTTCAGTGAATTTGGTGTGCGTTCAATCCTTTTCTCTTGCATCTCGCTTCTATGGTTTCTTCGTCGATTTTGTGCTTCCTACCATACCATTTCGTGTTCGTTTTTTTTTTGTGTATCACACATTTTATGTATTGTTTCTCTATTTCAAGCACGTTTGCGATTATAATGTACGGACATTTTTTTATTGAACAATTACCAAGTGATTTCTTTTCAACAGTCGGTTGTTGTATTTAACGGCTGCTGTGCATAACCAAATTCCATGTTAATAAATATCGTTGTGGCATTAATTTCTTCGTTTTTTGCTTCTTTCTCTGTATGTTTATCATGTGATATTTGCATGCACAAGAGGTAGCAAGAGGAAATGAGCAAAAAGAAATGGTACGCTTGTAAACTTACTGAAAATTGATTTCCGTATTAAATACATTTTTTTTCTCTCTTTCTCTCTCTATCTCTATGGATGATTGTTTGCACAAGAGTGCACCGAATGAAAATAAAGAGCTCGAAAGAAAGGGATCGAAAGAAAAAAAAAAAGAGAAAAATATAGTAAGATTCAAAGAGTAGCGGATTTTAGAGACAATTATCCATGTCCAATGAATATATGTCTTAATTTATGACCAAACCAATAAAATTTAATTTATTGCCAATCGTTTGTTATTAGTTTTGGTTTGCTATCATGTACAGTATATATATGTAATTTTGTTATTGTTGTTGTTGTTTTGTCTTCTTCGTACTATATCGCGCGTCAGTTCCTCGATTTGCTAATATCAATGTACATTTCATTTTCTGGTCCGTTCTGTCTCTTTTCAGCGTGCCCTTAATGAAATGTACATGAAAAGTCCTTTTGTTCCGTTGTTTTTTTTTCTCGCTTCTCATAACTCGATTCATTAAAATAAAACAAATATTATCGTATAAAAACATGGCCACGCGAAAGAGAAAGGGTATTGTACACGCGCGAAATTGTTTGAATTGTTTTTTGTTCGTTCTTTCAAATAATGGCGGATATTTCGAACGATTGGAATAAAATTGAAAAATAAAAATGACACAAATAACATTTCATAGATTTTATGGATGGTTCGTGGGTTGGTTGGCATGATTCTTCGTTGTCATTGTTTTCACAAACTCTTAATCGCATTTCATTCGATTGCGGACGCTTGCATTTGCAATAAAGTCGCTTTCAATTTGTTCCAATAAATCTAGCTGTCGGATGCGATATATCAACGATTGAAATCGACTGAAAACTCGTATCCTTTTGAAATTGAAAACAAACGAACAAAAAAAGAAATAGCTGTGAGAGAAAGAAGGAGAGAGAGAAATACATCGGAAACAGTGCGAAAATTACATTATCAATTGCCAACAAAATTGTCTGTAAATACTGTACACTATTCGTTCCAAATGACATTTATCAATGGTACTGAGATTTTCTTATAACACTGCTGTACTCCAAAGCAAGTTGATTTTTAGGAGAAAATAAAGTGAGCAATGTACTCACATAATTATTTAATAGAGAGACACAGAGAGAGAGAGAGAACCGAAGAGGATAAATCATAAATTAAATGTAATAACAGCCTAAAAATATAACACACACACACAAGCTTTAATGAGCCCAGCCATCGGCAGAATTTAAACCGATTCTTTATATTTTATGTGTAATACAGCTGCTATCTCTTTTTTCTGACGAGCAAAAGAGATGATTGAGAAAAATAATCGCTTTCCAACGTTGCAACGTATAATGAACGTCAATCGAATGAGAAAGCATTTAACGTTTTATTTGACTTGAGGCAAAAAATATATAAATAAATGGAAACTTTACAAATCGAATGCATCTAACGGGCTTTCATCTCAGCCTGAGAATATTTATAAATTCATTCAAGAAATAAAGACGGACACACTCTGCATATAATCTTTTATTAACCATTATTAACGATCGTAAAGGAGGGCCAATTTTGTGAAACCAAAAATGAAAAAAAATAAAATAAATCACTATGTTCACGACGATGATTGAATCATCATGATCAAATCAAACACAAAAACTACTTGGGCGATTTTTTCTCGTAATATATCTTGTTGTTGTGGTTGATCGTCGTTTTTAATAATTTCATTAAAATGCATTTGATTCTGTTGCTGGTTTTGTGATGCATGCGACCAAACATTCGATTATTCATGTTCTGTCAAATTTTCGGCGGTCCAGGGCTATTATTAACATTATTAGATAATTTATGTGTGTGTGGTTGAAAACCAATTTTTGTCGGATTTTTTTCGCCTCTTTCTTTGTTCGTGGTGATGAATATTACTCTCCAATCGAAATGAGAACGAAAAATTTACAGCAGCAGCATATAACAAGCGTCAAGAGACCATGTTCACGAGGTAACAGCGAGACCAATGAAGAAGAAAAAAAAATAACACAAAACAAAAGCAAACAGATAAAAACATGCGACTTTGCCCGCATCGCTCTCCTTTTGCCGTGCGATATATATACACACAATCTACTTTGTGCAACAAAGTTGAAAAATTATTCCATATACATGAAGAAAGAGAAAAAAATGCAACAGCCGCACCAACAATAGCTGGCATACAAGTCAATGGGTGGTTCTTTCGTTGTTCATCTTCTTTTTACTCGTTGTGGTTTTCTGTTAGTTTTTGGTAGATTACTTCATTTTTACCCATTCTTTTGTTTTTCTTCCCTTGCTTCCCCGTTCTCTCACTCATTCTTCGCTACAATATCGATTCGGAATAAAGTCGTGCAACAATGGATGCTCTTCTTCTTCTTTATAAATCGAAGTACAAACACTTCTACATCATCGATGAGCACCTTTTTTTTTCAATTCACGAACCAGAAGCGATACACAGCGAAAGAGATGACCACAAAAATAATTTGCTGAACGAGTGGAGAAAAGTCCAATCAACCAATAGAACAATGGCAGAAAGATATATATATATTTCATAATTAGGGTTTAAGATTCAATGTTTTTTTCATTTGCTTTTTCTCGTGAACGTTGTTGTTTTTCCATTTCGTTTATTTTCCGAATGAATTTAAAAAGCAATAAATATTTGTTAAATCATTTGGGCGAATGGTCTGGGTAAAACGATGACGATGGAATAGAATTATTTGTTGTTGTGCTGTAGTTGTAACTTAAGATTGTCAGAAATGATGATGTCTGTACAACCCCTCCCCGATATGAAATGGAAATATATCGAAGTTGCGGTACGTATCGTTCAAAAGAATTCCAGAAATAAATACGGTACAGGTGGTCTCCTCGCGAGAAATATATCAATTTATTTATATACAATTTTTATTCGAAATGGAAGAAGAGCGAAAAATGCACATTGAAATTGATTTTTCGAGTTTCGAGAAAAAGAACAAAAATGAGCTT